AAACATTTATTAGATGGGAAATATAAGGAAGGATCAGGGAATATAAAAACGTGTTGATAGATATCAAAGTTGAGGCGTGGAAAATGAAGTTTCTAGAACAAGTGCACACAGCCTCGATTTTCAATGGAAAGGTAGTAGCAAACTGCAAGCATGCAGTGGCAGTCCAGAAGGGGAGACAGGGAAGAGGGGACAGAAGGAGATTTCAAGGATTTGAGGACAGGAGACAGATGTAACCATAGCTTGGCTTTAATAATGTGCTCCTGGCATTTGGTGTGGAAGGTGGGCATGGGAGGCACAGAGATGGCTTCAGCAGTCCAGAGAAATAGTGAGGATCTGAGGGAAAGAGTGGGTAACAGTCGCCCTGCTGACTGACACCCCGTGTGGTGCAGAAGTGAACCCACGGCCACCTGTGCAGTCAGTGGCTTCCACGCTGGCTCGCACCAGTCCTGTCCTCTGCTGCTCTCTGATGCCCTGCCTCCTGATGTCAGCATGCATGGGTGAGACGCCAGCAAACCTGCTGCTGAGAAGCCGCTGGAAGGTGGCCAAAAATACTGGCCAAAAGTTTCTGAATCTGATCCAGAGCATGAACCTGTACATCTAAGATCTTAATGAAACCCTAGCAGGATAAACAAAGATCACACCAAGGCAGACTGCCAAAAACAGAAGGTCAGGGGAAAATATATATTTTTTGAGACAGAGTCTCACTCAGATTTCCCACTTCCACGGCTCTTCACCTTCCCCACGGATCAGTGTTTCCATCTGGTAACACCTCCCCTAGCTGCAGACCGCCCCTCAGCATTGCTGGGGACATGGATCAACCTCCCTTCAGCATTGCTGGGGACATGGATCTGCTGGCAGTGAATTCTCTCAGCTTTCACTGAACTGAAAAAATCTTACTTCACCTTCAGTTTTGAATCATCTTGTTATGATCCTAAGAATTTTTGTCTTGCAGCACCTTAGAAATGTTCTTTCATGATCTTCTCCTTTTATGATGAGAAGTCATTTACTCTTTGGATTAATTTTTTTTTCTTTTCCTCTGGTTGCTTTTAAGATTTTCCTTTAAATGGCGCCATGGCTCATGCCTGTAATCTCAGCACTTTGGGAGGCCAAGGTGGGTGGATCACTTGAAGGTCAGGAGTTCTAGACCATCCTGGCTGACACAGTGAAACCTCATCTCTACTAAAATCACAAACATTTAGGCGTGGTGGCTGTGCCTGTAGACCCAGCTATTTGGGAGGCTGAGGCATGAGAATCACTTAAACCAGGGAGACAGAGGTTGCAGTGAGCCAAGATGGCACCACTGCACTCCAGCCTGGGTGACAGAGCGAGACTCCATCTCAAAATAAATATAAATAAATAAATAAATAAAAAGCCAACAGAGGAGAGAGAGTGAAGTACTAAAAAATGCTCGAGCAGCCCAAGGCAAGATCGGTAAGAGAGAATTAAGACAGGGTATAATAGAATTAGCCAGATGGCAGGCCTGACAGAGCCATATCGGTAATTACATTAAATGTAAATCAAGGAAGCACTCAGAAGGCACAGACTGTCAGGGTGGATTTCTTTTTAAAGCAGGATCCAGTGGTATTCTGTTTACAAGAAAGGCATTTGCAGAGACAAACAGGATGAGAGCAAACGAATAGAAAAACACACACCACGCAAATAGCAACCTTGAAAGACATCCTCTGGACAGCCTCGGCTCATTTTCCCATGTGCTCAGCAACCCGTTTCCTGTTCCCAGTCACACAAACAGGCTGCATTCCCTATTGTTCCTTGCAGTCTCCCAACTGTGGTACAGGTCAGGCCAAGGGGTAATGGGTGGAAGGGGGGTGCATCATCACCACTGGGCCCCAGAGAGTCACCAGAAGCCGCTGCCACAGGATCCTCCATGCTGTCTTCCAGTTCCAAGTGGCTGGAATGGAGACCATCCTCAGGACAGGGCCACATATGGAAGGTAGAAGAGCCACATACTAGAAGAAGCTGGGGACCTGGAATCATGTGGAAGGAGAGGTGCCTGGCCTGCGCACTCACCCTATACTTTTATGACAAGAAGAAATAAACATGAATGTGTGTGTACATGTGTGTACACATGTGTGCATGTGTTGTGTGTGTTGCGCGTGTGTGCAGGTGTGCATGCATGTGTGCATGTATGTGTGGGCATGCATGCATGTGTGCATGTGTGTGCATGTGTGGGTGCATGTGTGCACATTGTGTGGGGTGTGTGCATGTGTATGTGTGTGCATACATGTGTGGGTGCGTGCGCGCGTGTGTGTAGCCACTGCAATAGCAGGCTATGTCTTTTTCAGTTTGTTTTACCTTAATAATACTCTCTACTCATATTTACTTTGTAGCCCACTTTGCTTTTTCGAGTTATAGGATCTGATATTATAATTAAACATTTGTTTATTTGTCTGCTTGTTTATTTTCTGTTTGCCCTCAATAGAACAGGCTTCGAGAACACAGGGACTGGTCTCTCTGCTCCCTCCTGCACCACAGGGCGGACATCAGTACCTGGCATATAGTAGGTGTTTATTAAACACAAGCCCTTTTTCTCTCATACTTGTGAGTGTGGGAAATAGAAAAGTTCCTTTATAAAGTTTCCTCTCTTGTTGGAGAATAAGTGTGCTAGTAACTTTGTTAAACCCTATCCTATGTAGCGGTTAGACATGCCGTGCTTACAGTCACATAGTACATAGTACATTCTGTGTCCTTGTACTTTAACCAAGATATCTGTGCTGGAGCTGCTCACAGGCATGTCCCAGCTCTCCACTGCTTTTACCTGTTTAGAAAAGTTTTAAGTTGTCAGCCAATCGGGTTTTAGTTTAGATTGTGAGGTCCGGCTCCAGCCAAGGGAGATCAGACAGAGTAGTAAGGACGACCCCAAAGGCGTAAGGGATAAATTTGTGTGTTTTCCTTTGTTCATTGTGCTCTCATGGCACAAAGGCTAGTGAGTGCCCCTCCTGTAGTCCAGGAAATAAACACTGCACTGCTGAGAGAGCCTTTGTCTCAGTGCTGACTTTTCTTTGCCATACCAAGCATCTATTTCCAACGTGAGGCCAGAACAGTTTGAAGCCAAATACCTGTGCGCTGGCACAGGGAATGCTGCTACAGAGCACCCGTAAGGACGTGGCGGGTGGAGCGGGGGTGGAGGGAGGCAGGGGTGGGGCAGGAGCATCTGTAGACCCATAGGGAGCTCTGCGGCCCCTGTTTCCTCATGCTTAGCAAAAATGCCCTCAGAGGCCCAGCTGCCAACCTGTTCCTGGTCCTGGTGATATGGGTGCTTCCCTCCGTGGTGTTTTATTGCTTACTTTTATTTCTCCCACAGAGAAGATCACCCTTGTGATCTTGTTTTTAAAAAAGATCAATTCAAATGTAACTTGTTCAATGTATTAAAATAACAATTTCAAAAGTGCAGTGCTTCCTTGAGCCTTTAAATCTAGCTGACAAACCTTGTTCCACCTGTAACTTCCTTTACGGGGCCTGTGAATAATTCTGGGTCCATCACTGACTTAGTTAATTTAATAGCTTTAAGCATTTTAATTGCACTTACAAAATTAATATATTTAAATTTATGTTTTAGTATCTCAGTTTTCTACCTTTAGCAAAACCTCGGAGTATAAACTAATTTTCAAAATCTAATAATTTAAACATACGACTGTGATGAACCTAAGGGAGGTCTCTTAAATGTTCTAAAACTGTACACACACTACAGATTTCCACATAAAATCAATAACTCGTTCAATTCCTCGAGTTCACATTTTCAATTGGATTATCAAGGTGTCACTGACATAGGCCAAATTCTCCAATATTCAAAATACCAAATGGACATAGATTACTTTATGCTAAAATATTCATACAATGAGTTTCAATTTCTCGATCCAGTCTAGACTTTAGAAGAAACAGACATGTACTCAGGAGGCAGTCAGCACTCGGGGACCCCAGGTGACGAAGGCCTGGGGAATCCGGGCAGGCTGCAATGGGCTGTTAGCTACCAGCTCTGAGGGGCTCACTGCTTCTGTGTGAGTCTTGCCCACGGAACTTAGGCAAGGAGAGAAGGTGCCAGGAGGGAGACCACATCTCTGAATTCCATTGTCACACAACCCTGGGAGCCTGCCCTTCCTTCCCAGCCACGTTCTGCTCACACTGGGTCTGGCGTGGTCAAAGCCGTGGTCTTCCAATGGCTTTGTGTTCTCAGGCCTGTATGATGCCAGGGACGTGGAGGTGGTCTGCTGTGAAGGCTTGAGCCTCACAAGGCTCTTTCCACTGGGGTCGTGATTCTAACCCTTTCGACCGCTGTGCAGGGATGCTGGTGGTGCAGTTGGGACCAGAGCCTGCCACCTCTCCCTAATGGGACTGAACCCAAGGCCAGCGTTTGCTTCGGGATTTTGCTCTTCTCTAAGAGGTGCAGATCAAGCTGGGGCCAATCCACCTGTTCCCTGGTTCAGGGGCAGGTGTCCAATGTTCCCTGTGAGCAATTTCATGCCACCCTTCCTCATCCCTGCCCCCACCTGAAGCTGCTGCTGTCCCATTCACCACCCCGTATCAGTGCGGAACCGGCTCGGATGGGCCCCTGGTCCAGTTCCTTGGGAAGGCTCCTGGTCTGCCCACACCACCTTCGCCAGCCAGCGTCCTCTAAGGTTGGAATCAACTCCCTGGGAGCTGGCCAGGGAGATCCCTGGTGACCATCCTGCTTCCCTCTCCCTGCTCTGGGAACCACCTCAGGCCCCCGTGGACGTTCCTAAACTTCTGTGGACCTAGAGCAGATTCTCTGCAAGTGAATTCCTCAAGGACTGGGTTCCACAAGCCCTTCTGCGTGGCGCGGGCCTCAGGCAGTGTCCCTGCCAGGGGAAGCCAGGCTCGTTAAAGGGGAAGCCTGGCTCGTTAAGCTGGAAGCCCATGGGGCCTGCGGAAGACAATGGCCCCGGGGCGGTCTCCACCACTAGTTGGGGCCACCAAGCCATTGGGAGGGAGTGGCCATCCCCAGTGGGGTTGGGAAATAGAGACAGAGGTGACAGTGGGCGGCCGAAGACCTATAAGAGCCACGGAGTTCCTTCAGCGGCAGGGCCCCAGGGCTGAGCTGAGCTGCCGTGGCCATGGGACCCGGTCTCCTGGTCCTCTCCTTCCTGTGCACCGTGGCCTTGACTGATGATACCTGTCCAGGTGAGTCAGCCCCCAGGGAGTAGGACTTTACAGCCATCAGGCTCCGGGAAGCTGACCGGCCGCTTGCTGACCACTCACAGTGCACCAGGCCCTTTGGGAAGGTTCCTGCCTTATTGTCTCAACAGCTCTTTTTAAGCCTCACACTTTGAAGAGGAGACAGAAGTTCAGAGACACAGATGCAGCTTAACACAGGAGCCGGTCCTCAACCCAGAGCACCCAGTCCACGGGGGGTCCCGCCCAACAGCCCTGTTCCCAGGGCCGAGTCCTCCTCCACGGAAGGGCTGTTGCGAGAGTCCCGTGGGTGGGCTGTGAGGAGGCAGTGGGTATGCAGGACGTTGGCTGGGGATTGGCCTAGTCAGAGACTGTGCCATGATCACCGTCACTGGGAGACCTCCCAGCTGGATGTGACCAGCAGGGTCAAGCCCCAGCTCTGCGGGGAATTCGGCCTGGAATGCACCTGGCACTTGGGACAGGAGGTTCCCACTGTGTCCCTGATGTGGTCCAGTGAGGGTGATATGGCCCCAGGGCTGCAGACCTCCTTCCCTGGGCTCCTGGGGCACTCAGCTGACTCCAGGCAGCTCCACCTGTGGCTCCATCTTCTCGGGGAGGCCTGGTCCCCCTGCATTGTGACCATGCTGGAGGACATTGCTCTGGACTCAGAACCAGGGATGGCTTCCATAAACTGTAGTGGGCACCATGGCCTGGGCCTGCTCCTAGTGGACCAGGGTACCAGGGAATGATGGGTCCTGCGGGGAAAGGCCCCGAGTGGGGCTGGGAAGAAACACACATCCACAGGCCCCTGCACTGGTTATGTTACGGGTAAGTTAATTTCTTCCCCCAGCATGCCTTATTTTCTAGATTATCTAACATTAGTATTCTTTTTTAATGAGAAAAAATAAGCAAATAAAAGAAGTGGTCTACACATGCTCTGACCAGTGAGCCGGGGTGAGAGATCGAAACAAATCCCTGGAGACCACTGTCGCAGCCCACGGCATCTGAGAGAGCCCTCGGGGGGCAGGGGGGGGCAGGTCGATTGTTCTTTTCAAAGAAGTAAACAGCCTCAGTTTGGCTCCAGCTCTGTCACCCCTGGCTCTGTGTGCTTGGACCCCACACTGCCCCTCTCCAGGGGACTGAGAAGGCCCCTTCCAGCCCAGAAATTCTACAGCCACCTTCCCAGGGTCTGGGAGGGAAAACGCTACGTCAGCCCCAATCCCCCAAGTTTCTTAGAAATATTTATTGTCAGTAGTGACTGAAAGTGCCCACTGTTTATGCAGCTCTTTCTAAGTGCCATAAATTGCTGTAAGAGATGTAAAATGTGCGTTCTCTAATCCAGCCCTGGCCACAACCTTGTTATTATCTGCACGTGGCAGCCCAGAGGGCAAAGCTCCAAGTGCAGTGAGTTTCCCCAGGGCACACAGCACTGAGAGGAGGCTCTGCTAGGTCCGGGCGGCCTCCAATGCCAGGGCTCTGCCCCGTTCACCTCCCTTCCTCGCCAGTGCCCGAGGGGTGAGGACAGACCAAGGCCTCAGCAGAGCAGAAAACCTCACTTCCCAGGCGCTGCTGGGCCAGGCACTGAGTGGCCACCTGTGTTTCTCTGCAGAGGTGAAGCTAGTAGGCGTGGAGGGCTCCGACAAGCTCACCATTCTCCGAGGCTGCCCAGGGCTGCCCGGGGCCCCAGGGCCAAAGGGAGAGGCAGGTGCCAATGGACAGAAAGGTAAGTGTGGGCCGGGTGGGGAGGCTGGGCGTGGTGGGGGCTCTGGCTCTTGCTGTTTTTGAAACTAGATGCTGAGCTGGGCAATGCTCCCTCCGTGGTTCCTAGATCGCTGAGCCTGGGTCAGATCCCTGCTCGGAACCAGGGACAGAGCCGACTCCCAGGGCCCAGCAGGGTTCTGAAATGCATTAGCCGGGTCCTCATCTTTTAATGACCTAGTGAGGGCCCAGTGGGTGTTTTGGCAGCAAACCTGGTCTCGGTCCTGACCTACCGTCTGCTGTGTGGCCACCAGCAGGGCTCTGATTCCCAGTCCCTATTCTCCCTGGGCTGTGGGGCTAAAAGTCTCCCAGGGACCAGCTTCAAAGGAGGAACCTGCAGCTCAAGGGAAGTGAGGACATTTGTCAGGTTCTCACGCCTGAATGGGGACGAGCTGGGACTGGATCTACTGGCTGTGGGAAGGGCTCTAACTTTCCAGCTCCCTGCCCCTGAGTAGACAGGAGAGCCCGTGAGGCCTGGATCCTGGGTCTAGAACCTTCTGGTGCAGGACGGGCACACTCAGGTGGGGCCACGGTCACATCGCAGCACAAACAGGATCCTGGTCATGACTGGAAGTCACAGTCGCCAGCTCCAGGGTGGGTCCTTCAGGTCCTGAGCATGAAGCTCTGTTTAAGGCAGTGTCTTTGGAATTTGCAGGAGAGCGCGGCCCCCCTGGAGCACCTGGGAAGGCAGGACCACCTGGGCTCAAGGGTAAGGAGGGGACCAGAGTGAGGAGGGGTTGTGAGGCCCTTTCAGACCCAGCTGCAGAGGAACGTGGATGGGGCCTCTGGGGCTGCCACACTGTCCTCGCCAGAGCTCACACCTGCCCAGCGTGGGGGAGAGGTTCTCAGGGGCAAGGGTCCCAGTATGGGGGAGGGGTTCTCAGTCAGGGGAAGGGTCTCAATGGTGGGGGGTTCTCAGAGCCTGGGCATTCACCTGTGGGTGGGCCTGAGACCAAGCCTTCCCCCTCAAAGGTCAGCGTCTGCTGGGGTGGGTGGGACAGGGTCGTCTGCTCACCTCTCCCAGCCCCTCTCATCCCATCTCACCTGTCATCTCCCCTGTCCTGTCACCTCGTGTCTTCTGCCCCCCGCTGGAGTACTTTTGGGGCACTGTTCAAAAACCTAGGTTGGCCCGAGTGGGCAGGGAGCATTAACGACAAGTCTGAACACAGAGAATGTGTGAACATACAATAGATACATTAAACTAGAAACCTATACATCCTACACATATAGATGTCAGCTATTTATCTGTATATGTGTATAATGCATACAATAGAACGGCTGTCTGATGCGCGTGTGTCAGATTATTTAGAAATGCCAGAGCGGCGTGCTGCAGGGAGAGCAACCCCTCTCACTCCTCTGTTCACCCCGACCTGCTCTGAGCTGCGCTGGATGCGCTGGGAGAGGAACACTTTCTCTCACTCAGCTGGAGGCTCCATCATACTTTGCTGTATGTAAATAAATGCCTATTGGCCCAGACCTCACCTGACCACACCCTTCATGCCACATCTACAAACACAGGCCACTCTAGAGCCTTTAGGGGTTCAGAGAGACCCCAAAGCACCAAGCTCCCTCTAGCTTGGACATGCGGCAGGAGGAAGGGGCAAATTAATGCAGGTCCAGTGACTCTGCTGCCTCCAGGGACAAGAAGGGCCACAGTCACCCCAGATGGCCACAGGCACTAGCAGCTTTTCTGGAGGGCAGTGGCCACCTTCATGCCAGGAGAGTGAGGCAAGCGCCACCATCTTCTGCTCTGTGCGGGGGACAAGTTATCTGATTTCCAGCTCTTACTGTGTGTGTTTGCCTGTCTGTCCCCATCTCCAGGAGACCCTCAGGAACCCAATCTGTGTAACACAGGTGGGTGGCAGGCATTGGATCCTCCAGCCCCGCCGGCACATGCACCCCAGAGCAGCCCACCCCAACCTGCACCCACCAGGAGCATTGGGACGCTCTGCAGTCCCAGCCCCAGAGGCCTCTGCCTTTTCTTCCCTCTGCACCAGCCAGATCCACAGGACCGCAGTGCCTGGTTCCCTGGCAGATGCCCTAAGAAGAAGCAGGGCATGGACTTCATAGTCTTGCGCCCCAAAGAAAATTAGAGTGTACCCCAAAGGCTGGGTTCCCGGGAGGTGAAGGTGGGGAGATGCTGGGAGGTGGGAGGGTCAGGCAGACTGGGCGTGGCCATCACAGCTGAGTGGCCTTGAGGGCTGTGTTCCCATTCAGGCCTCGGAGTCCTGCTCTGTCCGCACAGATGCCTGTGACCTTGCTCCTCCCTCCCGGGCCTCCCTCCCACTGCCCCTGCCCTGCCCAGGGCTCCCGTCCTGCAGCCACTCCCCGGGTTCCCTTCTGAGGCCCACGCACCTGCAAGGACCTGCAGGACCGGGGGCACTTCCTGAGCGGCTGGCACACCATCTACCTGCCCGACTGCCGGCCCTTGACGGTGCTGTGTGACATGGACACAGACGGAGGGGGCTGGACTGTGAGTGTGGGGGGAGCTGAGGGGCCCTGGGCAGGGGCGGCCAGCCTGGGAGTCCCGGAGGCCAGGCTGCACACCTAGTGGGAGAACACTCTGGAGTTCTCTATCCCTTTGCACAGGGACAGGCAGAGATGATGGGGGCGGTGACCCGTGGGTAAAAGTCCAGGCCGTGGGAGAGGCTGGGAGGGGCCGGTGTTTTCCTGCTGTGTGGCTTGGGGCTTGCTGCCTCCCCTCCCGGGCCCCCCTCTCCTCCTTCATCTTCCCTTGGGGTCTGCGAGCTGCTGGCCCGGCCATGATGCTCTGCCATCTGCACATGCTGCTCCTCTGGAGGGCGGGTCCCCTGCGCTGTGGGACGTTGGCCTGGCATGTGGCTCCTGTACCCCGGCTCCCCCACAGGTTTTCCAGCGGAGGGTGGACGGCTCCGTGGACTTCTATCGGGACTGGGCCGCGTACAAGCAGGGCTTCGGCAGTCAGCTGGGGGAGTTCTGGCTGGGGAATGACAACATCCATGCCCTGACCGCCCGGGGTAGGGTGGCTGCTGGGGATTGGGGGTCGGGTGCCCTGAATAGAGGTGCCCCTGCCCCTTAGGCCTGGGCTGTCTGGAACATAAGCACCTCTTGGTCCACAGGGCATTGGGCTCTGAGCACATGCAGGGTGGCACTGGGACCCCCGAGAGCTGCATCCCCTACCGCTGTCTCTGGCGGCATCAGGACTGGAGAGGGTTGGAGCTCTGGGCTGAAGCCTCTTCTGGTCTCAGCCCCACCGGCACCTTAGATCCTCAGTGTGGGAAGGAGGGCCCCAGTGGCCCCGTAGAGGAGTTTGGGCCGAACCCCAATTCTGCCTCTAACCCTTGAGGGTTTGGGAGTCCAGTCTCACCCTGTGGCTCAGCACCCCCTGAGAGTCAGAGCTGCTCAGGCCCCGGGAAGCCACAGTGCTCTCCACGCTCTGCGTCCATGGAACCCAGACCTCCTTCCAGCCCCTGCCCCAGAAACCCAGCTCCCATGTCTGGAGGCAGAGGGCCCTTCTGCTGGGACCCTGAAACCTTCCTCTCGCAGGAACCAGCGAGCTCCGCGTAGACCTGGTGGACTTTGAGGACAACCACCAATTTGCCAAGTACAGATCATTCCAGATGGCGGGCGAGGCGGAGAAGTACAGGCTGGTCCTGGGGGCCTTTGTGGAGGGCAGTGCGGGTGAGTGTCTGTGCCGGGCTGTGTGGCCTGGGCCTCCAAGGGTGTTGGGGATGTGGAGGGAGAGTGCTCAGCATCTGGCTATGCCTCTGCTGTGCGACACTGAGGGGTGACTTAACCCGTTCAATCCATAATCTGTCCATCCATCCAGTCACTCACAGTTTACTGCACTTGTGAAAACTATGATCTACGTGCAGTAAAAAGTATAATACAGATGGGCTCTGATTATCTGCTACCATTACCAATGGAGAACAGGACACCTGATAAGGGTATTTCTACAGAGACTGAACCCCTATGCTCTGTGCTGCCCAGCACGCCTTCCCCTGCTGCCCCACCCAAAGCCAGGCAGTATCCAAGTGTAGGAACACCTGTTAGCTGGCTGGGCAGAGCAGGCAAGGAGATGCCAAGGCTGCTGTCCCAGCAGAGCAGAGCGCATGTTCACTGGGTGGTGCCCCTTGGAGTTGTGCAGTGCACAACGTGGGCTCCTGGCCATGGCAGTTCTGCACTGGGTCTAGGATCCAGACTCCCTGGCACTTCATGGAAATGCCCTGTTTTTTCCTCTGGGCAGGTGATTCTCTGACATACCACAACAACCATCCCTTCTCCACCAAAGACCAAGACAACGACCAAGCTGCTGAGAGCTGTGCTGTGCAGTATAAGGGAGCCTGGTGGTACGTCACCTGTCACGTGTCAAACCTGAATGGTCGCTACCTCAAGGGGGCCCATGACAGCTTTGCCGATGGCATCAACTGGAAGTCCGGGAAAGGGTACAACTACAGCTACAGGGTGTCAGAGATGAAGGTGCGGCCCGCCTAGCCTGGTGCTGGTGGCAGAGGGGCTCTGCATGCACCCTGGCTGGAGGAGAGCATTCCTCAGCCCTCACAAGGAGGGCAGCATGGGGATCGTGGCTCCATCCTCATGGGAGGTGGGAGCTCCTACCAGTCTCTCATGGACACGGCCTGCAGAGCTTTGCACCCAGCACCGGCGTCCAGCCCCCTGCCTCCCGTCTGCAAGGTTAGGCGAAGCCCCAGTGTGTCTCCCTCACCACAGCTGTCAGTGCTCACTTGCCTCGCAGGGGGTTGTGGGATGCCACAACCATTTGCAGTGCCCGACCACTGGCCATGCCCCTGCGCTGCTCACCCGTCCTTGCCTCCCTGTGACCTGGCCCTACTGCTGGGTCAGGTGCCCTAGGGCTGAGGGTGTTTCCCACTAGCTAAGACAAAGCAGGGCCACTGAGCCTGTTTGTGAATAAAGTTTTATTGGCACAGCCATGCCCATGGCTTCCATATTGCCTCTGGTTGGTTTCTATCATCCCTGGCAGTTTCCAAGTGCCAGGCAGAATAGCTGGGACAAAGACCCTAAGAGTCCCAACCCCTCAATTGTGTATCCATCAGCCCTTTACAGAGCGTGTTCGGTGACCCCTGCACTCAGAGCTGCCTGGCCCCTGCTCTGCTTACTCGTCCCCAGGCTTCCTGCCACCTGCCTTCTAGGGTCCCCAGGACTCACTCTTGAGAGCCTCACGCATTGTAGGAAAGGCGACTGTGTGCACATGAATCCCGCATCAGAACGAAGCAGAGATGAGAATAAGGGGAGCGGGTGAGATGGATCTGAGCACCCTGCAGAGGGAAGGTAGCCAGAAGGCTGAGCTCTCAAAATGGGGATTGTATAAGGACTGACAACACCTGCTTTCCTTCTGGTCAGCCAGGCAGGCCCCTCCCAGGACCAGCTGCCCAGAGCCCAGACCCCGCAAATGACGGAGGGCTCGCCCCAGTGTCCGTCTCTCTCTCCTGGAGAGGGCTCAGCCCCTGGCAGGCTCCCTTCCCCACTCTGGAATTCAGGGCATTCTCTGAGTCTCTGGTTTTGCTTTTGCTTCTGTGAATCTCCCCAAGGCCTCCTTCTGCCTTTTCTCTGCTTGACTCACTCTCCAGGTGGAAATCCTGGCAGGCCCACTGCAGCTGCTTCAGAGACGATTCTTCCCAACCTGTGACCCGCAGGGACCCATAAGCCTCTAGCAGAGGCCTCCAAGGGGCTGGGCCTGCAGGAGAGGGTGTGGGGAGCGTGAAGGAGCCTTGGCCTCTGCCCTCAGCTGCTCCAGGTGCAGGGGGTGGCTATGCACACATGGAACAGGCCCCTCAGGTGGGAGCCGAACTATTCCCGAGCTCCCATGTCTGCCATAACCCAGAGCCTGCAGAGGGGGACGGACAGCTGCAGGAGGTGTGGGGCCGCAACTCCCATGGGCAGATTTGCCCCAGGCCTGGGGGGATGAATCGGATCTGACTCAGGTGGTCCTCCTGTGCGCTCTGGGGACTCCCCTGTGGACAGTCCCTGGGCCAGGTAGGGTCCCTCTTCCCCAGGGGCATCCAGGGCTGATGGAGTTAATGTGCATGTAGCTAGTGGCACCTGGCAAACCCCCACCCCCAACCAGGGACACTGGATGCCAGCTTCCCGGAGTTCTGCTGGCTGCAGCTCCGTGTGGGAGACAATGGGCCCCAGTACAAGCTTCCTGAGGCAGGGGCTCTCGCAGGCCCACAGCTCTGACTCCGCTGCCTGCAGCCTGGCCCACCCGGCCCTAGTGTGGATGCAGGGGTCTGCGGGCTCACTGAGAGGGCCGAGGGTAGACTTGGGAATGGCAAGGGCCAGGGGGTGCCCAGAAATTCTTAGCCTCAACTTTCACCCTGGGGGCCTGACCCTGCCACTCCCTGCACCTCCAGCACCTGGCCTCTGAGTTCAGCTGCGCCCCAGTGGGTTCAAAGCCCCCATTATCTCAGCAGGGGGAGGCTGTGCCTGAGTGGCAGCAGTGAATACCGTCAGGGGGTACCCTGGGTGCCTCCTGTGCTTAGCCCCAAGCAACCCTGGTGAATAAGGGGAACCCTACCCTGAGCATGGAGCCTGGTCCTCAGGGGGACAACCAGCCCACTGCTGACCACACAGCCCCTGCACTGTGATAAAGGAATGGGGATTCGGAGAACACGGTGTGAGCCCCCAGACTCTGGGCTGTCACGGATGCTCCCAAGGGAGGGGAGATGACATTGAGCCCCAGAGGAGGGAGAGGTATCTGGACGAAGGTGGGTGGGAGGGGGTGGGAGGGAAGCTGGCAAAGGCAGCTCAGAGCCTCCTCCAGGAGCAGGTCAGAATCCTCTCTGCACAGCTCTCCCCCTCGGGGGTGCCCTCTCTCCATTCCCTACCCAGAGACGCCACCCTCTGTCCTGGGAGTCAGGCAACCCGTTCCCGCTGCAGCCGACGTGGTATACAGGCCCTCATGCTTCGGTGTCCTTGCCCAAAGTGTGTTTTGTTTTCTAACATGCTTTTTACTTATCGTTATTATTTTTTGAGCGCTACAGAAGAGCCCCTGAGTGGGCAGGCCTGGGTTTTATCACTGTTGCCACTCTTCTGTAATTTACTCAGAACGTGTGATTCAGATCAGGCCGGGCAGTATCCAGGGCAGCGCCGGGAACTGGTGTAAGGGGTTGTCTCTGCCACGGATTCCCGCAGCTTGGCCACTGAGTGTGGTTTTCGGGGCCTGTGGTTTCTGGGATCGCTAACGGCATCCTGATCTGACAGCCATTGTCCAGGCTGTCCCTGTGTCCTCCTGCTGGCAGTTTGATGGGGGGCACATGCCTGGCATCTCGAGGGTCCTGCCTGACAGATCACATCGTCTTCCTAACCAAGAAAAGGGCAGGAAGTGGAGGGGAAGGGGCTGGGCTGCGGAAGGGAGAGGACTGGGCTGCACTGCCACTGGTGCTCCCTCTCATGTGGCCGCACGCCGAGCCCATGCCCAGTCCTCTGATCTTCGCTCCTTTCTGGCTCCAGAGCCCCATACCCCCCAGGATCAGGGTGCTGTGCAGAGTGGGCACAGGGCTCCCTGCCTGGTCCCTCAAGAGCTCCTTCTGGGACCTGGTGCTGAGAGGAAGGATGTGGGTCTACGGGGAGGTGGACTGTGATGGGCAGGAGAGGCTGGCTGCTCCTACCCTGAAGGAGAGACCCGTGAGAGCCGTCGGAAAGCTTGTGCTCTCAGTCCTGCAGGATTTTCCTTTCTAAGAGCCTACAGGGGTGTGCTTGACAGCGAATAAACTGCACGGCTTTGAAGTGTACAACTTGAGAGTAGGTTGACAGAGGATGCACCTGTGAAACCAGCACCACAGTGGGGACGAGGAACAGATCTGTCACCCCCAGAGGCTTCCTCGTTGCAGTCCCACCCCTCCCAGCCCCACTCACTGAGGCCCCAGGTGATGTCTGTGCTTGTCTCTGTGCTTGTTTTCCTGAGATGTTTTACGGGTGAAATGACATCCTAGCCACTCTCTGCTGCCTGTCTTCCTCCTATTTCAAGGGTCATCATGTTGTACTCTGCACGGCTGTTCATTTCCTTTCACTGCAGAGTCGTACTCCATGCGTGGACAGGCCACAGCGTGTGTCCACCCAGCAGAGTCATACTCCATGCGTGGACAGGCCACAGCGTGTGTCCACCCAGCAGAGTCATACTCCATGCGTGGACAGGCCACAGCGTGTGTCTACCCAGCAGAGTCATACTCCGTCAGTGGACAGGCCACAGCGTGTGTCCACCCAGCAGAGTCATACTCTGTCCGTGGACAGGCCACAGCGTGTGTCTACCCAGCAGAGTCGTACTCCGTCCGTGGACAGGCCACAGCATGTGTCCACCCAGCAGAGTCATACTCCACCCGTGGACAGGCCACAGCATGTGTCCACCCAGCAGAGTCATACTCCACCCGTGGACAGGCCACAGCATGTGTCCACCCAGCAGAGTCATACTCCACCCGTGGACAGGCCACAGCGTGTGTCTACCCAGCAGAGTCGTACTCCGTCCGTGGACAGGCCACAGCATGTGTCCACCCAGCAGAGTCATACTCCGTCCGTGGACAGGCCACAGCATGTGTCTACCCAGCAGAGTCATACTCCACCCGTGGACAGGCCACAGCGTGTGTCTACCCAGCGGAGTCGTACTCCGTCCGTGGACAGGCCACAGCATGTGTCCACCCAGCAGAGTCATACTCCACCCGTGGACAGGCCACAGCGTGTGTCCACCCAGCAGAGTCGTACTCCACCCGTGGACAGGCCACAGCGTGTGTCCACCCAGCAGAGTCGTACTCCACCCGTGGACAGGCCACAGCGTGTGTCCACCCAGCAGAGTTGTACTCCATCCGTGGACAGGCCATAGCATATGTCTACCCAGCAGAGTTGTACTCCACACGTGGAGAGGCCACAGCCATGTGTCCACCCAATAGAGTCATACCCTGTGCTTGGGGGCCACAGCTGTGTGTCCATTCAGGTGTCGATGGACATTGAGGTTGCTTCCAGCTGGGGCCATGATACACTGGGCTGCCATGAGTCTGTGCACAGGTCTTTGTGTGAACGAATGGTTTAATTTCTCCTGGATTAATATGCAGGCTTGGGAATGGCTGGATTGGATGGTAGGCATTATTAGTCCATTCTCACGCTGCTAATAAAGACATACCCAAGACTGGGTAATTTATAGAGGAAAGAGGTTGAATGGACTCACAGCTCCACATGGCTGGGGAGGCCTCACAGTCCTGGTGGAAGTCGAAGGAGGAGCAAAGTCATGTCTTGCACAGCGCTGGGCGAGAAAGCACGTGTGCAGGGAGCTCCCCTTATAAAACCATCAGCTCTCAGGAAACTTGTTCACTCTCACGAGAACAGCATGAGAAAGACCCGCCCTCATGATTCCACGACCTCCCACCAGGTCCCTCCCAAGACATGTGGGAATTATGAGAGCTACAGTTGGAGATTTGGGCAGGGACACAGCCAAACCGGATCAGTAGGTATGTTTTTAACTTTTCGTGAAATTGAGAAGCAGTTTTCGAAAAGGCTGCCCCACTTCGTCTGGCAATGCAAGAGAGGCAGGTCCTCCCCCTCATCATTGCACTTGGTGTCATCGTCCTTTTATGCTCAGCTGTTTTCACAGGGGTGTGGTGATGTCTCATCACGTTTCGTTTGCATTTTCCTTACGACTAATGCCGCTAAGCGTCTTTTCACAGGCTTATGTGCGATTTCCACACATCTCACTCGGTGAAGCATCCTTCTGCATCACGTGCCTGCGTTTTTGATTGGATGGTTAGTTTTGTTTTTACTGAGTTTGAAGAGTTCTCTCTGTGTTTGGAGTACAAGCCCTTTATCAGTTGTATGTGATGCACGAGAGCCTATCGCTGGTATAATTACCACAAACTTAGGGGCTTACAATCACACAAAATTGTTATTTTACTGTCGTGGAGGTCAGAAGCCTAAGATCAAGTTGTTGACAGGGCTGGATT